TGAATCTGAACCGGGTGTTTCTTGGTTGTTTTCGCGCCAGCATTTCCAGCACAGCAAATCCGTTGGATACGAGCATCACGATAGTGCTAAAGAAACAGAAGAATATGAAAAAGAATAAGTAATAGATTCACTGGAGCCAGAAGACGTAGGTCAGTTGGCTATGTATTTGCAAGAGGCGCCAGCTCACCCCCCCCCCCCCCTTGGGCATGTGTGGGGCATTTGTCATTTTGTTTTGGAAAAGCTACAAATGCCCTAGGTGGGGCCAGGCGTTCATACCAAAAAACCCACGGTGGGGCTTAAAAGTAGGATGCAAACTGCCCCACCACGCGACAACACCAAAATCGTGTTTTCCGGGAAATAAGCTTCCAATTTCATATTTATCAGAAATCTCTAAAAATCTGATCAAAACGTGTTAAGCGCCGTACACAAATCACTATAGAAAGTATTATATAAAACTCACTTTAAGCCAGGGGCCGCAAAGGAATGTTACTTCCCCTTTTTGTTAAAGGTTGAATTGGTTAAAATTTTTTTACCGTTTTTCTTTGTGGCAAGCTGCTGCAACGCAAGGGGTAAATCCACGAATCCATCTTTAACCACCTCACTGAAATTGAAGTTAATAGTGTATATGGGCGCAAACAAGCAAAAAAGTTTCTACTTACGCCAAGGAGACTTGAAAGAGGCAAAGGCTTCTTTCCAAGAAAAGATTATCAGTTGCCTCAATACACACACCCTGCTCTTCATAAAACTGATACCCCTTTACGGCGTACCCAAACTTTAAATAACCATAGTTGAGCTTTCAATCCTCGCAACATGAAGAAAACTTCACGGCAGATTTCAAATAATTCCTTGAAAACACAGTTACTGTATGAACAGACTTGGTTCTGCGCCACCAGTGCCTTGTTGCAATTGATACAATTGTCTACTGGTGGTGTAAGGATCTCCACTGCTGCCTGATTGTAGTTGTGGGTTTCAAGCCCTTCGGTGAAAATCTGAAGAAGCCTTACGCAACGCTCTACTTTCACATCTCCTCGAATTTCACTAAATTTGGAACAGTAATATGTCAGGAGCGCCTTCTTAGTTGGCTTTGGAAGACCAGTTGGTATTTTCCGAATGATGTTGGTCAGCTGTAAGGCGTTTAGTACTTTCAATGTAAAGAGCCATAGTAGGTACTCCCTCACTCAAAGTGTTCCTCATGTCATCTAAATCTGAAAGAGATGTAGTTTTTCACAGTCTCCAGGGCCTGTGAAATATCAGATCTCTCTCTTTTCCGCTCTCTCAAGTCAGTAAGAAATAAATTCTCACATTGATCCATGCCGTTAAGTCCAAACAAGCGATGTAAGACTTTCTCGCAGCGCACAATAATAAACAGATGCAGATATTGTAAATTTCAACAGATTGTTGATTCAGTCGTTCCAAAGCACGTGCAGCATTGGCGTGCCGGTTTAATAATTCATTACTGTAGTTAAGCAGCTTAGGGATGGACCATTAGAAAAGTTATTGAGGTGGGGGGGGGGGGGGGGGGCAAAAAAAAAAAAAAAAAATTTCCCCCAAATTAATAAAAAAAAAAAAAATTTTATTGAATATTAAAAAAAAAAAAAAAAAAAAAAAAAAAAAAAAAAAAAAAAAAAAAAAAAAAAAAAAAAAAAAAAAAAAAAAAAAAACAAAAGCAAAAAAAAAAAAAAAGAAATTCAAAATTGCATTAAGTCTGGGCTATCCCAGTTCCTACTTCCACAACAAAAGATGTAATATGTTGCTCTGATGGCTATATTTATCATTTTCTTGATTATATAACTTTGCTGCTTTTTGTCAGGATGGGCTACTGTTTTTGTCAATGCCAATGTCATTCATCATGTCTAAGAACGTGGAGCATAATAATAATAATAATAATAATAATAATAATAATAATAATAATAATAATAATAATAATAATAATAATAATAATAA